GCTCTTCTATAACCTCTCTTTACTTATTTCCCTAAGTAAATAAAACCTTCCTAGTTAGTTTAGTGAGTAGACAAGCTATTTTGCTATAGTCCTTAATGAATCTCTAATACTAGTTGTAGAAACTAGTAAACTATTGTAATTACTTTAAGTTCTTTAGTTCTAGCCATTTATTAATAGACTTTACTTTTTTCAGGTGTATTTGAATCTTATTGTTCCTAATAATGTGTCTAAGATACTTAGTAGTAGATCTCTCAAATTCACACTTTTAGAGCTTAAGGAACAAGTGATTCTCTTACAGAATTGTAAAAACCCTTTGAACTAAGTGTCTATACTCTTTAATATCTTTAGAATAGATGAGGATATTGTCTAGATAGACAACAACTGATCCCTCATTAATTAATTCACTAAAGATATTGTTTATAAAGCTCTAGAATATAGTAAGAGTATTTGTGAGACTAAAGAACATAACTGTAAGCTTAAACAATTCTAGATTTGTTCTGAAAGCTGTCTTCTACTCATCACCCTCCTGGATTCAAATATTATAGTATTCTTAACACATATCAAGCTTTGTGAAGTACTTAGAATCTTTGACCTTATCCAGAAGCTCTTGAATTAAAGGTAGAGAGTACTTATTCTTAATAGTACCTTTATTAAGCTTTCTATAATCTTAGATCAGTCTCAAAGATCCATCCTCCTTCTTAATAAAGAAGAAAGACAATACTATGAAGGACTTTGAATATTGAATCCTTTCTAAAGCTAGAAGAAAAAAAAAGCTAGATTCTCAGAAATAAAATCCTTAAGTGTATCTTGTTCTTTAAGAGTTAGAGAATACACTATACAATCTATAACCTTAAAAATCTAGCTTTAGATTAATAGTATGGTTCTAAGATTGATACTCTAGTAATTACTTAAAGGATTCTTTACTAAATACACTTTAAGATAAGGAGGGATTGTAAAAACTAGGGTAGGATTATTATTAATTCTTCTTAAGTACTCTAAGACATTTGAATACATCTCTAGTTCATCTAAGAACATAGAACAACTAGCTAGACATTTAGTAAAGGACATAATACTTTGTCCCTAATTAATTTCCAGATTATACTTGTTTAACCAATCATATTCTAGAAAGATATTACTTAATACTAATATAGTGACTGTTAGACAAATTGTCTCTGTATGTGCTTTAACAGAGAGTTCTACTTTAACATAGTTCTTTAGAAGACCTTCATTATTACTTGTACTATTAGTATTAAAGACTAGGAAGGGATTCTTAAAAGAATATATTGTTAACTTGTTGTTCTTAACAAAACCTACATTTATATATAATTTAGTATACTCTGAATCAATTAGAGTATGTACATTAATGAGTCTATAATCTGTTTTGATTGTTAAGAACATATTTAGTTGCCTTACAGTACTAGAGTGAATGTACAAAGCTTCTCTAGAAGAAACTGAGTTTACAAGTTTATAAGGAATATCTAAAACCTTTCCTACACCTTCTACCTCTTTACAGACTTTAGAATTAATAGGTTTATTAAAGAAATAAGAGTCTTTACTGTTTAGAGTGTTATAGTTTAAATAACAGTCATCTATATTTGATTCAAATGTTTAGTATCAACTATTTACATAACAATAACTCTGTTCTAACTCTTCCTTAGATAATACAGTGTTTATACTTAAGGATTGACAAAAGACTCCTCTTCCTCAATCTGTTCCTCTTCTGATTCTTCATCTATAAAGTTCCCTTCCTTTAATTCCTGTATTACCTCTACAAAAGTACACCTTTCCTTAAGTCTTATAGTTCTGAGAATCATTCTAACTCTTTAATACTAAGAAGGACAAACTCTAATAAAGTGACTAATTTCTCTACAAATGTAACAAGCTTGATTTTTCTTAGTATTGTTAATTAAGATGTTTATTAGTTCTCTAGCTCCTAAGAATGTTTTTCTATTAGGAGTTGACTTGAAAGGATGTAAGGTTGGTTAAGGATTTGTCTACACATTTAGGGCTTTAAAATATACAGAAGAATTAGAGTGAGAAGAGTTGTGAACCTTGTTAGGAAGATTAAAGTGTAGACAATTGTCAGATTAACTACTAAAGAGTCCCCTGTGTGTAAGAGTCTCTCTGAGTCAAGTTTTATTATTGTTAATCTGAATTACATACTTTTTCTATTTATTATAAGTACTTAGAACTAGTAATAAGTGTATTAACTAATAAAGTACTTTAGGATTAAGAGTATACTAAAGTAAATTAATTAATATAGAGTTATACACTTTACTACTCAGTCTAACTTTAGTCTTAAGAATCTTAAACTGTTGAAAAAAGACATTTGTAGAGTAATTTCCTTGCTTGAGTTGCTTGAGCTTCTGGATTACAGTTTCTTTCTTACTAAGGTTATTAAATAATTGTCCTAATTACTTTATAAACTCTTAGAATAATTATGTACAAAGGATTTTACTCTTAGTATCTGTGTTTTGAGTAACCTAGTTTTCTACCTATATAGTAACTGTCTCTTCCTTTAGATAAGAAAGTATAAAGAGTATCTTCTTTTTACTGTTATAGAAGGCTCTTTCATTAGTTAGAATATATAGTAAACATTCTCTTTTAAAGTCCTAATAATCCTTACCTCCTTTGTACTCTCTGAGAGTAGTAGTAATCTTTCCTAGGTTTCTAGTAGAAGTATAGTGTATTACTATAGTAACAGCTTGACTGGTAGCTTCTGTAATCAATTGAGAGACTAAATCTATGTCTAAGTATATATATACACTTTACTAGGACTGTACAAACTTGTAAGAGAGTGTAAGAGAATTTCCTAAAGGATTTAATATTGTTCCTAAGACTAACTCTATTAAATCAACTTCTAAAGTACTGAATACTCTTTCAAATACTTGAGCAAGCTCTAAAATGTTTGAGTCTTTATTAAAGGCTAGTATGAATAACTATAAACAATGTTTAAGTCTTAGAGACAGTTCCTTTAACTAGTTTACTACCTAGGCAACTTTGATCTTTCAGTTTTAAACTCTTAAACTACTTATATACACTCTATTCTAAGTACAATCTAGTGACCCTTATCTAATAACACTAAATAACTGTAAGACAATACTGGACTTTCAGACTGTAAGGTCCCTAAAGACATTACTACTTAAGAGAGACTCTAGTTAACTAGTAAACAAAGGCTAGAGATTAAGCTTTACAAGTAGTAAGTTAAAAAGTGTTTAGAAAAGAGTGTAGCTATGTAAATTGTAAAGACAACACACAAACTCAAAAGAGTGAAAGAGAGTAAAGGATGGTAGTGATTCAACCTTAAGAGTAGAGTATAAAATAATAGAAAATGAAGTAACAAATGAGTGAGAGATAATATAGAATTAATAGAATAGTAAATTAGTTTAATAGTTCTTTAAGAAAGTAAAAAGTATGTTTATAAAGGAAGTAAGGAATACTCAAACAAGTAGTAGCTCAGATTAAGTAAACTAATCAAGTAGTGGCTCAGATTGGGCAGATTAGACAGATTGAACAGGAGGAGTAACTGAATAGTAGCTTAAGTTAGGGAAAGTCAAGTAGTAGCTCTAACTATGTATAGAGTAAATCAAACAGTAGTTCAGACTTGAAGTAGAGTAGGATTAGATAGAGAGGATAGTTGAGTAGTAGCTCAGACTAAGAGGATATTAATTAAGTAGTAGCTTGGACTAAGAGTAGTATTAAGGTAGAGATTAGTTTTTTGACTCTTATTTAGAGGAGATGTGTTCTCTAGGTTGATAGTACTCTCAAACTGTGAATGTAGACCTGCAGCCCTTAATCCAACTATATTCCCAAAGCTACCAGCTAGGATTTATACTAAGAGAACAAGTAGGAATACAAGAAGAGTCAAAAAACTAAGGAACTACTATATTTATAAACTACTTTTTATAATAACTAAATAACAAGAGTAAAGTGAGGAATGAAACTTGGGAATAAGATTAAAGAAATAATAAGGACAAATATCACAAAGCTAACAGGCACATTAGAGGCTAGGAAGAATTAACAGAGCATTGTACATTAGAGAATATAGGCTAAGAGGCTATTGTACAAAAGAGGTGTGAGTTACTATATTAGACAAGAAATGGATTGACTGTATCATAATTGTATACACTACCTTGTGTCTCTGTAGCTCTCTCCTGTGCTCAATACTAAGACAATCTCTATGAAACTTTGTAGAACAATAGATGAGATGTTAAGGATCATGAAAATCCAGTAGTAATGTTGGTTTTTTGCAAAACTGACAGAGATATAAAGAAAATGAAATAGGTCCAATCCTACAGTTCTAACACAGCCAGGTTGAGGTTACCTGCTAGTATGAGTTTTTTGTTCAACATGTTAGCTCTAGTACTACTAGACTGTATGTTTGATAGAGGAGTGTGTAATGGAGGAGGAGTAGGATTTGATAGAGTTTGAGTCAAGAGTGAAGGGGCTTATTGTGTAGGAGAAACAGTACTACTATACAATGTAGGTTGTATCAGCTGATTACATTGTTGAGAACAAGTTTAACACTGAGATGGATCCCCTGAGCCTGACATTCAAGGGCCAAGGCTCATAACCTGTTAAACAAACAGTAGGGAGTTTACACTAGACACAGGAGACTCTCATAATAATCAATCATTATTACAGGGCACAATGCCCTTACTTTTATACTATAGTACATGTACTACTTTGTGTAATAAGCAGTCATGTGAGTGATGCCTGTATGCATCTGCATGTAAGTTAGTGTGTCTGCTACCTTTGCCAAATCGTCCAAATATGATACTTAATATTGTGGTCTTAACAGGAAGACAGTAAAATTAGTATAAAGATTGATTGATAGACAAAAAGAAGGGAATACTTTGAGCCAACTGAACAATCTACTCACAGTATCACTGTAACATGCTTCTCGGACCGAATAAGTATGTCTTGTTCACTTGCATTGATCCTGGGGATACAATAGACCAAAAAGGGCGGGCCAGGGTGAACTAACTTCTCTTTGTGAGTTATATCCTACTGCTTGCATCAGAGACACAGTTGACAAGTAGGGCAGCCAGCTCCTCTTGGACGATTGTAGCCTGCTGCGTGTCTGGGGGGAGCAGCGAACAAATAGGGGGATCAGCTCCTCCTCCTCGAAGAGTGTAACGTGTGTTAGTACTATTGGTCTCGGGGGGCATAACTGACAAAGAAGGCGACCAGCTCACCTTCAAAGTTTGCATCTTGCCACTCGTACGTGGAAGAGACGACAGAGGAAAAGGAACCAAGCTCCTTCCAGACGATCACAGCCTGCTGCTCGACCACGAGGCCCGACATAAAGGGAAACCAGCCCGCCCTCAGCGAACCATCCTGTCAAAGTTATCTGACCCGTATCAATACTCGGAAGTCACTCAACAATGAGGAATGTTTATTACCTCTGTGACGTTGTATCCTGCCGATATCCTCCGACTTGTGTTGATCCTGGGGAATACAACTTCCAAATGTCCTTCTTGCTGACTGAGTTGCGCCTATAGACGGAGTAAGTGCCGATAAGAGAGAACGAGATAAAAGTACGTTGGACAAACTGAATCCTCAGGCCCTCAGCCCACTCGGGTACGTCCTACGTCCTGGATCCCTGTCCTCCATACCTGTGTCTCGCATAAGCCAGGCTGCATCCGTCACCATGTACCCTATAGCTATACAGCAGGAAGCAAAATGTGTGCAATTGGATACAGTACAAGATGCGGTATGCCGTACCTTGTACTATCCAATTGCCGATCAGCACTTTCTTACTGCATATAAGCACCTCCTTTTTTAAGTGTGAGGGTGTGAGGGAGGATGTTGATGGGAGTCCGGTCGCGGCGGGTTTGTTAGGGCGTAGGCGGTTGGAGAATGTTTGAAATGGGAACGGTGGGGATAGGATAGGAAACGAAGATTATTTCTTGGTATGCGATGCAAAGTCGTTGTTATGAGGAACAGCTTTGTGTGCATAGAGATAAGACGAAAGGAGCGTGAACATACGTAGAACAAAACAGGACAGAAACAAAACAAAAGAGAAGAGAACGAGACTGAACGTATTGATACATGATGCAAAACACACGTGCAGAGAAAACAAAACAAAGATGTTGCAAGGCAAAGCGAAGATGAGCGAGCGAGTAGGAGTGAGTGCGTGGAGAAGAATGAAGAAGAATACAAGTATTGCTACATGTCAACGCGTAAGCGAATGAAAGAAGAGAGGAGTCCAGACTCTGACCCGAGGACCCAAGGGCGGAGGAGATGAAAGTAAAAAGCACGATCTGCACATCATTCGCTCGTTGAATAGGTCGTTCGTGTAGGGATTTGGACTGTAATCCGCCCTGCTAGTGGGAGAAGTCAACAATATTACTGCTGGTGGTGGCGACAACAACTACGCGAGGACGAGGACGCTCTAAATAAGGGAAGATGTTGCCATTAGCGTAGAGTTCGACAGACAAAAGAAAGGCAGACGTTGGGACAACAGAACAACCTTTGGCTCAGTAGGCTCGTCATACTGAGACCAGTATGTTGAGCGCTCAAACAAGCACGGGAAACTAGGGAACATTAGTATAACAAAATGGGGGGAGAGAGAGAATGGCAAAAACAACAGGGAGGAGTGGAAGATAGAAAGCCGGATTTAATCCGCAATTTCTCCTCCACTCCACCCCACCCCTCACACAAGCAACGAGCAGTTGACAAAGCGGTAGATCAATCACGATCCAGACTCTCACTGAGTTACTCTGTCAAAAGCCGTTACGTTATGTGAGTAGGTCCCAACCCTTTAGGTAAGGGCGGAGTGGGCACGGGAGCCACCCGTGCAGTTGACATACATGTGCATGCAACCTTTTATGGGACCTATTTTTTGCTTGAGAAGGGGAATGACCCGTCCTCTCGCGTCGCTACTGGGGATACAAAAAAAAAACAAAGAGGGCCAGCTCTCTGTAGATTGCATCCCGCTCGCTCGCCTTGGGGACGCAATCAACAAGAAGAGAGAAGCCAGCTCCTTCTCGAAGATCACATCCCGCCGTTCGTCCCGAGGGGCACAACGTCAAGAAGAGAGGAGCCAACTCCTCCTCGACAATCGCGTCCCCCGAGTACCTGTAAAAAAGATCAAGAAAAAGGCATCAGCTTATTCTGCACACAACAGCAAGGGAAACCAGCTCGTCTTCAGCGATAACATCCTGCCAAGATTATCCGACCTATATGTCAATACTCGGAAGTCACCCAATGACGAGGAATGCATATTACCTCCTTGACGTTGCATCGCGCCTATACACGGATAAAGGATGGGTAAGAGAGAACGAGATTAAAAAGACATTGGACCAACCGACTACCTCAGCCCATTCCAGTACGTCCTGTGTACCGGATCCCCCTCCTCCCATGCTTGTGTCCCACACAAGCCCGGCGGCATCCTCACGGATCCCTGGCACCACAGAGACGAAGAACAGCAATCTTGCCCTTGAGCCAGTTAAGGAACGAGATCGAACGTGTCGGCTCTAGCGTCTCACGAGTGGATCTACACTCCACACTTCTCGGATGGAGGCTCGACAGCTGCGAGGCATTAGTCATCCCGAGGTCAACACCCTGTGGTGCACTCTTGCTCGCTGGCCACTTCGCCTCCTTGCAGCCAGGCCTGGCATGGTTGTAGGAGCGTTTGCCCGCCTCCACGAGTTCCGCGACGGCTACAGGAAGGCGACGAAGTAAAGGACGTTGCGCTCTCGTTTCCCTCCTTTGTCCAGAGGGGAGAGTGCTCGTCATCGCTGCAGCAGGCGGAGACGGCGGCGGCGACGCTGCCGAAATGGTACCAGCATGTATAAATGCGAGCGCGGGCACGTTAAACAGACCGAGGCCCACTCCACTGGGTGCTCTGTATGGAGTACGATGTATGCGTCCGCTCCGAGGTACAAGGAAGGGACGAGTAACACGCGTTCTGAGTGCTTGGGGGCCGATATGTTGTGGTGAAAAGTTCGGCAACTCGGGTGTAGGGATCGTCTCTATCTCGACGAGCTCGAAAAGAGAGGATCCTGAGTCATCAGACGCTGCCTGACGACGAAGCTGCATAAAGACAGGCCCTGTCGAACAAGAGGAGCTCAGATCTGCATCGTCTTCGAACAGGCTCTCGTGGCTCCAAGGTGAGGATCCACCTGTGTATGCGTTCTCGGCACTTCCTGACTGATCGTAGAGAGGGAATGCACTGCCGCGTTGCAAATACGCCTCCCAGCTGGTGGGGGCATCGATAATCGAGCGCCTGCGCTCGTTGGAAGGTCGTGCATGTGAGGACGCGCCTGCATGTCCGTTTGCACCCTGATGCATGGATTAGTATATCCTGCTTTAGTACCAGACATAAAAAAGGATACGAACGAAAGACTGGGCTCTAGACATCTTGTTAAGAATCAAAATGCTTCGGGGGGTGAAAAGATATAGTGCAAGGGTGTAGTCGTAGGTTATGATGGGAAAGGCAGAATATCTTGAAACACGTCTTTATATAGTCCGACTTGAGTTTCACTCTGGTCTAATGTATCAGCCTATGTCTAGGAAAAATGAAAAACACCAGAAAATGTTGACGAATGCATTTGATCTCAGACTTGCTGGTGGTCTTAGATCAAATACGTCAGTGTTAGATAGAATGTGTACTGAATTCCTTGACGAGAAAGACCCCGTGTATATTAATATTCCGCCAGATGGTCTTGAAGAAGCACCTGAATTGTTCAAAAGCAAGGTCCTGCTGATGCAGCAGAAAGTGGCATAAAAAGATTGTCAAGTTTTCGAGTGAAGACGAGCACAGAAGGGAAAGTACTTATGTAATGAGTCCTTAGATTAGATTGGATTAGATTAGATTAGATAAGGAAGTGTAAGGAATAGTCGTCACGTGCATCACAAAACTAGATGTGGTCTGACAATACATTGTATGTCATTCTAATAACTATAATATATAAAAGATATAGAAGTCTGTCAATGATCATTACATTGGCATCTGCTGCTAAGACATATCTTTAGAAGGTCTGTAAGACTTCTAAAATTTACAATACTTTTATAAATTGTCAGAGTATACAAGACTTGCATGAGTATACAAGACTTGAGTGAGAATACAAGCTCTTACCAGAGTTGCTCAAACAATAAATGCTTCATACAATAATCATTCTTTTTTATCATTATTGAATTAGAAAACAAATATATTATACTTGAGTAAATAATTACAGGCGAAAGTATTTACTAGAACTACTATTAAATCCTGTACCACTCTTATTTCTTCCACTCATACCCACATTGCCTCCCATAGTTCCTCCAGAAGATCCACTAGGCTGTCTGGCTGAAGAAGTGCCTCCAGAACCTGAGGGCCTCGGCCCTTCATCATTGTCGTCGTCGTCATCATGAGCACCATCATCTGGTTGCTTGCTAAAGTCAGCTGGATGCTTA